TACTTGCATCGTGCCCAGATCTGAGATGAAGCCACAAAGCAACACGAACATAACTGGCAGAAACCTTAATAATTTCAAAGTAGAAGCTGCTTGTGTGAACCACTAAGACCTGGCACCAACCATGCCTCTCTTGTATGTATTCTTCCTCCCAGCAGTACCACAGTGGAGTCAGCTTGGTTTTCCAGAATAGAGATGACCTTGTGCCCCACGTAACTCTGCATAGAGCTGGCCCCAGAAAATAATCTCTTCCCATACTGTTCACTAGATTCATCATGAAATGTTTTATGTAGCTCCTTTATAGGGGAGACTCCAGACAACAGATACAAACATCAGTGCAATCCTTTGTTTTTCAGTTCCTTGATATTACTCTAAGGGAAGGGGGGGGGAAGCTGAAATAGAAAAATAGATAGAATGAATCTTGAGAGAATAAAGCTAGTACTGGAAATTCCCAGTCAATAGAAGGAGCTTCCCAGGTGGAACTGTTGTTTAGAAACGTGGAAAAAGTGGCAGAGCTCAGAAGATCAATAGGTATTGAAGGAATACAGTTTTATCTTGACCAGGGCAGATCAAAGAAATTATATTAATTGCTTTTCAAGACAGATACTCCCACAGACTTTAATCCATTCTGGTAGCATGCAGAGAAGTTTGGTAGAAAGCTATCCAAAGTGTGTCATCCTCAAAATCTGCAAGATGCTTCAAACACTGAAGGAATCTCTGCTTGAATATTCAAAAAGTGGCAAAAAGAGAGCATTCTCCAATCCATGTCATATTAAATTTATCTCATAACTAACAACTTCTCAACTTCTTTTCTGCTCCTTACTACCTCCTAAACTAGCTATATTGCTTTGATTCCTATTTTCACTTCAGTTTGCACCTTTTGATTCGTTAGATCCTAGACCCACAAATCCTTCTCCAGTCACCATCTTCTCAGAAATCACTTTTCCTTCAAACAGTTCTCACCCTTCCTCCTACAAGCAGCTGTGCTGTATGTCACATAGGCATGATTTAGACTGGAAGCTCTGCAGTGCAAAGAACAGGTCTTATTTATGTTTGTGAATCTTAGTCTAACTTTATACTGCTGTATAAATGTTTAATAGCTAATAATGCATTTGCTGGAACAAGCTGTGCGCTACTGTGACTGTTTGGATACAATCCTTGCTGACTGTCAGAAGCTTAATTAAAAAAAAAGCAAACAGCAGCTACCTGGTGACACTGCAGTCTCAAAGTTAAATAATGCAGTAGTTGAAGAGGTATAACAGACATCCATCGTAACACTGGAAATGGCCATATCTATTATTTCTACTTTTTAACCAGCATAGAGTTCAGGAGCTCAGCTCTACCACTGAGTCTTGTCTCCTTTACATCATCTGTTTCTAGACCCCCATATTAGCATAATTGTAGGGAAGCATTTCAGATCTTTTTTTTTTCTCTTCAGTGTTGGCTGAAGATACAAGAATGGTCCCATCCATTCCTCACTCCATTCCTGGCACTATTTTTTCTCCGATTTTGAGTACCATAACCTGTGTTAGAATTAATTCTTTAAAAGAAATTCCAGTAGCAGATTTGATGTGCAGTTTTTACTTCAGTGATCAAACAGGAGCCAGACAATTCATCACTGATGCCATACAGCAATGAATGCTCAAGCAAACAGGGAATGTACAATGTCTCAGCCTTGGGGCCAATGAATGAAATATGGTGATGCTAATGGAGAAAATACAATGGGACAAAAGGAGCCTCAGGTCTTTATGTCATCTAGCCTCAGGTTAACACTTATGAAAAACAACAACATAAATTTCCACAACCAGTAGAAATAGAAATCTTTGGGTTTTGTTTCATCCATGTTATCTCCTTATCAGGTTGTTCCTGATGGTGAGGTTGGATGATGAGAAGTCTCATCCTTCAATCTCAACAATTTGTGCACTGCTGATGCAGGAATATATTAAGAATCAATTCTATTACATATCTGAAGAGGCTCTAGAACATGGAGGGAAGTGGGGCTCCTGCCCAGCCATTTACCTCCAACACTACATACTAGGGTCAGAATCCCTTTTCTGTGAATTTTAATAAAGTCTCACTAATAACACTGTTGATACTTTATCCTTGAAAGAGATTTGACTAAATGATGATTTAAGATTTTGAGAGTTGTCAGTATGTATTAGAAAAGAAAAAGAGCTCTATCCATGAGAAGTCAGTCAAAAATTAAGCAAAAACCATCTCTAGCTATGAGGAAAGACTCCTATTACAGTCAGTTCTCATGGACTCAATAAAGCTTTTTAAGTGGCATGAAAAAAACTCCACCACTTCAGCCATTTAAAAGTAGATTGGACCAAGCATTGGAAGAAACATACTGCAGGGAACTCAGACATATCAGCATGGCAGTAAAACAGACGAGCTAAAAATCCCTTTTTCTCTCACTTTCAGGATTGTGTATGACAAGATTTCCGTATGAGTCGAAGTGTACTTATCTGTAATCATAATTTTCAGAGTTTGGATTTTAGTGACAATATCTCTTCGAGAAGAAAGGTGTCCACCATATACACAGTCAGAAGCATTACAGTTGCAAAGAGAGGTACACAGAGCAGCAGCGCTACTTAGTGAAGATGAGCTAGGGAGAAAGACTTTTGAACAGATCAGAACTGAAACACTTGGGAAAATTCTCTCCAGTATGATTGGAAGCTGAATTTTTAACAAAGTCCCATTCAGTTGGAAGCATTCAACAGGTGTTGGTTGGCTGCAGCTCCCTGAGTATGCTAACTGGTATCAGAAACACATCTCTACACAGAAAGATTAACATATCTCAATAAATCTACAATTAACTTTCCAGCTCATCAAATATCACAGCTTCCACAATCAAACTATAACAGGGAGGATCTTCAAGCAGACCAAGTTGAAATCCCACTCTCCTATACTGCATAGCAAAGAAGAAAAACAACACTTTTAAGTAAAACTCTCAGTGAAGTCCTCTTTATTTGAGTAGCATTATTTTCAAATTAAAATAACTGTTTTTTCACCAGTTAAATGGTACAATGCCTTCATGCTTAAAAAATTTGGAGAGGATAGGGATCTGTTAGCTATTTTATTTTGCCTCTGAAGAACATGGTTTCAAGTACCCAAGCAATAGCCACAATGAATAGTTAACAACTAAGCTCATTTAGAGCTCAGGGCCTGAAAAAACTGCAAACCTGTTGCTGAGAATATGGCCCTCTACCTCACTGTTTTTGGCAAGAAAGCCATACCTAATTCACAAAAACATCTTTCTGAAGGAACTAAAACAACTTCTTTTATGACCATTTTGTTTTGTCTCTAGTTCCTTTAAAAATGTAACAGACTCTAACTCAGATATAACTAGAATAATTTGCATTAGTTCTAGTACTGAACAGATTTATGATACCTTGTGTATTCACAGGAAAGTCCCATCTTCAAAAGATTCCAAGGATGAACTGCTGAGCCTCAGAACAAAAAAGCCCTTTAAGATCAGGGTCAAGCAAGGCATTTAAATTCAAAAATAATAAATAAATCCATTTGGAAACAAAAGCCTATTGTATATTGCTTCTCCAGGAAAACCCATGGGTGGCTGAGAATTACTTGGGAAAACTTTGTGTAAATTAGTTCTGAATCATTCTCAACTCTTTCTCTTACACTGAAAAGAGGGATCTATAGAGGGAGAAAAGCATTTATGAGTTCACACAGGGTCGGGGAATATCTGGCATTCCAAATACAGAACTAGAAAATGTTCATAGTCGTTGGGATGCTGAAAAAAAGAATGAATGTCTTCCCTACTCACGACTCACTGAGGAACTGGGACACCCTCAGCTCCAGCTACAAATGATTGGGGGTGGGGAGCTAGAAAGTACAGAAGGAAGCACAAAATGCAGCAGTAAAAGCTCATGCAATTCAATGATTCAAAGGAACCAATTCCTGCTCTCTACTCCAAAGAGAAAAAATAGAAAATGGAAAAATGACAATTTAAAAAAAAATAATCAGTACCACTGTTCCCTATCAGACTTTGCTTTCTCTGCTACCAGGCAGACACTGCCAAGCTGACAAAGCCAACGTGAAGAGATCTCATGAAGAGTCTATTAGAAAACACAGACTTTCACCTAGGGATTCTGCAGCATCCTATAACATTATATAGAAACTAATCACCAAAATCCATAGTTATTTGCATTAGTTCAAAAAACTGTGAAAATATAAAGTTATATTATGGGTTTTCACAGTAACATGTATAGAAAAAAAAGCTATTCTTTATTCTTAATGCTGAAAGCATATGCTAACAATTATCGCCACAAAAGCTATTTCAATTCTTCCAAGTTATACAGCAAACTAGACAGTAGGGACAGCTTTGAAACTCTGCACATCAGGTTCTTATTTACTTTGCTATCCTATGCTCAGGTTAAAATCATACACATCTACTGAAGGCACTTTCTCCATCTCACGGAATTCTGGTAAAACTGATTCAGGTACCAAGCTGCTGAAGAGAAGAGGTACAATCTTGATTTGGTCCTTAGAATTTAAGAACTCCTTACTGAGATGTAAGAAGATTCTCAGACTCAGCAAGTTAAGGATGCAACACTTCCACACTAAGTCACACATGTGCCCAGCAGTGGTAACTGACTCAAAGCATGAGCTGGGTATTCATATTAATCAACAGACACTGTCCATGATTTTGTAGCCGGTGTTTACCTGCTATTAAGTAACTTTGTTCTTGTCCTGGAGCCTCTGAAACAAAGTATTCTGCCATTACTGTGAAGCCCAGTCTTGAACACCACACACATCAGTTGATACAAGCAGCATGGTCATTGCTGTATGCATTATCGTGATTTTTCAAGCTTAGTTTTAATTTACCGCAACTTTGTGGAGGAGACTTGTCTGGTCTATAAAATATTGCATTAAATATCAAGCAAGTATTTTTCTTCTATCAATAGCTTCGCAAGTCACGTTTTTGAAAGCTTCCATATTGCATTTGAGATGGGTACTAAGGAGTGTAACTGAGCACGTACCTCTGTCAGAGCTCACAGAAAGAGAAGCCACAGGTCCACAGCTATGCTCTGGCCTCCTGGAAAAGAGAAAAGCAGAAAGTGTTATAGAATATAATAATCTAATGTACGGGTTAGAAAAATGAACTCTAAAATGGTCTCTAAGGAAAAAAAAAAAGAGAGAGAATAAATCACCAGTCTGCGCTGTGAGAAATTCTTACAGTTATTTCTATCTACTCCAGTAGTTATTTTTTAAAAGCCAAAAATCACCATTTGTCTGTGAATCAGCTTTTATGAGTAAAGAGCCTCCATATCTATATAAAGCCAAAGCATCATCATCTGTGTTTATTATTCTGTAAAGAAAAACAGTGCCAAACTTCCTGCAACACCCACTTTAGCTCCTGAAATCCAGAGAATTGAATGTGCTACTGTTAGCATTTGGAGACAGGAATATGTTTTGATCTAATATATCAGACACAGGCTTGCAAGGTAACAAGAAGATATTGGATTCTATAGCAAGTTAAAATAGTGCCAAATATGTAGCCAAATACAGGATAACTTCTGTTCACCATCTTTAAAATCTTTCAGCAGTTCTAAACATCCTGAAAACGCCATGAAAGTTGGTAAATAGTTTAATTTTCCCAGCTCATGACATAAATCACAACCTGATTAACATTCTAACACTACTCTTACTTACATTGCATTTAACACCAAGTTACCTGTGAGACAGGAATAGGACAAAATTTCTCATGAACAGAGAGGTCTGCTTTGTAGCTACAGCCATTTCTATTAGGTCAGGTGTTTTGTTACTGGCCGAGGACACAGTTTGTGGATAAGCACATGTCAGGACACAGTGGGTGTGCCACAGAGCCAGCTCTATCCTGAGAGAGAGAATTATAGCACTGCTTTTCCATCCTGCAATGTCCCAGGGAAGCACACCCTCTTGTCTTTGCTCATCTCTTCCTGCAGGTCTCCCTAAGAATCTACTGGGAGAAAAGCTCCCCAGAAGGGCAGATCTGCAAAAGCTATCCAGATTTCAGTGCAATCTCAAATCTGTGGAAGATTTGTTTTCAAGACTTCTGCTCAAGCTTAAGTATAGGATTTTCCAACCTCATTAATGGGAACTCGCTTGCCCATTTCTCCACTCACATAAGGCATTTCTCTACACGTTTTCAAGAGCAGGTGATAGCAAAAGGGAAGTTCATTCTCTGCTGCCATCACCAAGGACAGGAGATCAGAAATATGAGCAACTAGCAGACTTTAACTGCTGCTCTCCAAGCTCAGTGTGGATGATAAGTGCAGGGCCTATGCTCTGAGCTGTCACCTACCGCAGAACCTCAGGGTGAGGAGGATTTTGTGTTTGGATCATGATAAGAGAATATTTATCACTTCTGTATACACCCAGTGAAAAGCTGTCAGTTTGCAATAAAGAAGCAGGCACTTCTTGAAACTGAGAAGTTCCTCCCTGCCTCCTCTTTTGCTTTGTAAATGGTAGCCCAGTAGGATTGAGGAAAGACACCACCTCTTCCCCTGCAGCAAGTGCACAGTCACTCCAAAAGTAATACCTCCTATTTGTTTCCATGGAAACTACAACAGATACAACAGACAAATGGTGCGCCACCACTCTCCTGTCCTGCTGCTCCTTTCTCAGTTCCAGGATTTGTGCACTTGTTCGTATGTTCTTCCCAGTCAGTGAGGAGTTTTCCACTTCTCACAGTGCTGTTTTGGGGAACAAGTAAAATCCCCACCAACTTTCCTACCTCTTCTTCCCTGCTAGGAATCAATTCACCTCGCCACTTACATCAACTCAGAATCAAGGACTAATGAACTACACATACCTCACCCCTTTTCCCATCTCCTCAGTTCCTGAAGCTTATTCTTCTCATGATTTGAGACATCAGGCTAACCACACCAGATAGTGCAATCCATAACCATGCCATAACCTATATCTATAAAACATATACCTATAAAACATAATTTAATACCATAATACCATTAATACTCTAAAGCCTCTTCCACTGACAGATACATTTTTGCCTGCATGCCTCGCTTGACTGTTTGTCTTTCAGTAGCATTCAGCTTTTAATTTCTCACTTACTATCCATGGGGAGAAAAGTAATGCTAATCTACCCTATCTGTGGCAAGCTAAGATCCCTAAAGAAAAACTCTCAATAAATGAAAAAAAAGCACACTTGTATCCCTCTTTTCTATCTTGAACTTACTCTGGATCAAACCCCCCATCCAATGTCCACCTTTTAGTTATGGGACCAACCAAGCCCATTCATGTTCTCATTTGTATTACTCACGCTTTAATGGTATGGAAAACACAGAGATACAACACTTTTTTCTATATTAATTTATCAGAGAAAATACTGAGTGCAGGTTGCTTGTAACGTGCCAGACTTGGACTGTTCACCTGCACAACAGCTTGTTGACTCAAACGCGCACTATCCTCAGACACATTCCACAAACAAATGTCTCTGGGAATAGAAACAATCTAACAAGAAAAAGTCAGACCTCTTTTCAGTAAAAACTCCTGGACGTTTTTGGCTAAAACACAGAGCTCAAAAACAGAGAAAGTGAAGTGAGATATGTATACCCTGATTCCAAGAACATTACTAAAGGAAAATGATGAAATTTCCATGCGCCTCAAGACAGCAAAATGCCCAAGTATGCTGAAGCACACATTATTCTGAAGAGCAGTAACAGTTACGGTGGCCATTAGATAAGTAACTCTGATATGAACCACTCTTATCTAACATTAATTTGGAGTTGTTCCCATTGGTTTGCCAAGGAGGAGAAAATCTTTGAGAGCCCAATTAAGTTAAATCACTAACACATGCTTCCTACGGATATCCTTGAGAATCAGACATATATTGCAACTACATTCCTAGCAGCTAAAAGGGCAATAACAGCAAAATTAAATTCCGCTTTTAAACTGCTGATTTACAGCTTGAAGAAATCGTACCCAGGATGTTGCCCATTCCCTGCAAAATAGTCTGGTGAGGGCAAATATGAACACGTTTCCCTCCTGGCAAGCACAGCAGTCTAATTTGCTTATGTGAGAGCTGTGCAGCCTTCAGAGAGTTTGAGAAAAATAGAATAAAATAACTGAATTATTATATTTTAAATAAATAAAGTACAGAACATACTATCTGTCTGGGGCACTATTTTAGAGCACAATTAAATTTTCTAAATTACTAAAAAGTGTGGAAATATTTGGATCTTCAGGTATGAGTAGCAAATGTACACATCTTGGGTATCAAAAATAAAGATGTTGTGAAACTGGAAGTTGCTGGAGATACAATGAATAATCTGGGAAACCTTTCCTGCATCTTACACATAAACTTATCTTATTCATAACTAATCTACTTTATTGTCTCTTAACTACTTTTGACCATGAGCTTTGAGCTTTTTACTCACATTATGATCAACCTCCATCCTGCCACCTCTGCTAAGCATATAAAATATGAACAAATCAGGATGCAGGGATGAGTGCCAGGCTGTTCAAAACTTTGGTCTTCATTATAACTGCATGCGGAGGAATTTTTTTACAGCAAGAGGAATCATTAGAATGTTGCATAAATATTTAAGTGATCACTCCTGAGCATTTCAGGCAAACTGTTAAGAGCCATGGGGGCTCAGGTTCTTCCAATAGGAGCTCCTGCCTTGTGAAACAGGTCCAGTGGCCTCTAGGAAGCTTGTACTATCCCGGACTGTTTTGAGCACCATTTCCAACTTAAGGTTTTAGACAAATTCTGGAATGACTGCATTTATTATCCCTTCCAGGAAAAGGCTAAGGTGAGATCTCTGGAATAAGCACTACAACTTTCTGGAGTTGAATTCTGTTGCTCAAGTATGATGACAAACATGCCCTGTATTGAAAACAAACAAACAGTGCCCGTATTGTATTGAAGCCCATGCTAGCAAGCAAAGAACATGTACATCCATCCTTCCACCCATGAGAGTTTAACATCAGTCAATTCTTGCAAAAATTAGTCAGGCACATCAAAGTTGCTGTGCCACTTACAGAAATATGAAGGCTGCCATTTTTCACACACTTTCTTGTGAAGGAAAAACATGCCCATCTCTGCACTGTGCATGATGCATTACAGACCCAGCATTAAAAAAACTTCAGTGTGGAGGAGCATGGAGAAAAGAGAGGGAATAGAAAACAGTGTCACAGCCTCTGCCATTTCGGAGTGCTTGTCCCTTTTAATCACAACGGAAAGCAGTCCCCAGGCAAGATACTGAAGGTTCAACTCGCAGCACAGAATGAAATCAAGTCATTTTCTCCAGCTTAGTCACTGACTTTCCACGCATCTCAAACAAAAAGCCAGGAAGAGCATTGAGGATTGCAGCAGCAGCAACGGTTCTGCTGCCGAAAGGTCTTACAACAAACATGTCTTTGGAAAAAATGACTGTAGTAATGCAATGAGGAACAGAAGAACACAAAAGGAAGCTGATGACGAAGGGACACTTTCCCTCCACCTCTGGTACTGTAATCCTAGCAACCAGAGCTCTTCAAAAGCACGCGTAGGAGGATACTGGGAAGAAAGGGTAGCACTGTTTATAGTACATAGAAATAGAGCCTGCAGAAGTAGCCAAATGAGGAGAATAACCTTTATGCAAGAACAGAAGAGTGGAAGGAAATGGGTAGGTAAGGACAATTGTAGGATTTGTACTGTATAGAAGAGAATCCCTTCTAAGTAGGATGCAACGGAAAAGATGTTTCACCCATGGAGTTGAAAGAAATAACTCATCTGGAATAGGAACCTTTTAATGTTTGTTATCTGTGTGTCTGTTACAAGATGGATTGTAGTATTTATAATACTTACTTACAATTAGCACTTTATCAGCTAAAAAGTCAAAGCATTTTGTACATCAATCCATTTAGTCTTAAGTCACCCTTATGAGATGCCTATCAGCCAAGACTGAAAGTCTGGTGTGAATCACAAATACTTTAAAGGGTTCTCAAAGTTTGAATGCTCAACACTTTCTGAAAATAAACTTCCTGGAATAAGTTTCTGTGTCACTCAGCCTTTCTGATATCCTGGCCATTTCCTCTTCACTACAGCAA